AGGTCATGCTGACTATAATAGTCAGGCCAGGAGAAGGCTGGGTTTCACTCTCTTTCTCTTTCTATCTCTTTGTTCTGGTGTGGTGTCCTGTTCTGTATGCTGTTAAGGTTTAGTCTTATTATAAGTTTTCGCTAAGTTTAAGTTAAGTCTACTGCAACTGGATTTCTTATGGACTATGTCAGTCCTGAATGTATTGGATTTGTGACCATTATGCTCATCCTTCAGTAGTGGGTGAAGCTCTGTTGGATGAAGTACAATTGCCTCTGGTCTATTTAATAATAATAATAATAATAATAATAATAATAATAATAATAATTTATACCCTGCCCATCTGGCTGGGTTTCCCCAGCCACTCTGGGTGTCTCCCAACAGAATATTAAAAACACAATACAATATCAAACATTAAAAACTTGCCTTCAGATGTCTTCTAAGAGTCAGATAGTTGTTTATTTCCTTGTCATCTGATGGGAGGGCGTTCCACAGGGCGGGCGCCACCACCGAGAAGGCCCTCTGCCTGGTTCCCTGTAACCTCACTTCTTACAGTGAGGGAACCGCCAGAAGGCCCTTGGAGCTGGACCTTGGTGTCTGCGCTGGATGATGGGGGTGGAGACGCTCCTTCAGGTATACTGGACCGAGGCCATTTAGGGCTTTAAAGCACCAACACTTTGAATTGTGCTCAGAAACGTACTGGGAGCCAATGTAGGTCTTTCAGCACTGGTGTTATATGGTCTCGGCGGGAACTGTGCAACATGTTCAAGTTACTTCCTCCACACACATGACAATAACCTCAGCCAACCAGTCCATGGTTACCTGCCTTCTTACTGCTTGCCAGTCCGGGGGGGCGGGTAGTACTGTCTATCAGCTCCTTCCTCCTCAGTATCTGTTGCTCAGCTTGCTGCCCTTCCAGACCCAATGGGAACCAGTCAACACTGCAAGCCAGAGTTCTCTCCGCTTCCGAATCAGAACTATTATTTAGTGCCTGCTTTGGTGTCACAGAGCCTAGGACTTGCTGATCAGAAGGTCAGCGGTTCGATTCCCCTCGACGGGGTGAGCTCCCGTTGCTCGGTCCCTGCTCCTGCCAACCTAGCAGTTCGAAAGCATATCAAAAGTGCAAGTAGATAAATAGGTACCGCTCCGGTGGGAAGGTAAACGGCATTTCCGTGCGCTGCTCTGGTTCGCCAGAAGCGGCTTAGTCATGCTGGCCACATGACCCGGAAACTGTACGCCTGCTCCCTCGGCCAGTAAAGCAAGATGAGTGCCGCAACCCCAGTCGGCCACGACTGAACCTAATGGTCAGGAATCCCTTTACTTTGCTTGTGCTTCAGACATGAACCTACAGCATGACACAATGATCTATCTTTTAGTGACTTAGGGCTTACGTAATTGTTCTGCCACACTTCCCCAATCTACATGGAAGCCGCTTTCTTTTGCAAGGCAATGTTCTACCAGGTTGTTTTTGGGGGGTTTTTTTGCAAACTGTTTTTTTGTTTTTGGTTTTGCAAAGCTGGATCTCCTTTGCCATTCTGTGGTAAATTAAGGTTACTAGATTTTTTTCAATGAATCCGGGGACAGTTATTGTTTGCTATGCACAAGTGAATACTAAGAAAGCTGTAAATCCGGGGACTGTCCCCGGGAAATGGGGACATCTGGTAACCTTATGCTAAATGCCCATTTAAGATGAAATAAAAAGTGGGAGGGTCGCACAACATGGAAAGTGGGTGGTGCTTGGTCACATTATTCTAAAAATCATGTACATGTATGTGCAGATTCACAGCTCTACAGACAGTTAAGGCATTACCATGCATTAACTGCCTGCAGACAGCCATCTCACCATTAACTTTCATAGGCACTTATTTCCACTTATGGTGGAAATGTCAACCAGCAGCAGAATTTTAGAAGATGCCGTTCCTAGAAATTACCATATTTTTCCGTGTATAAGACTCACCCATGTATAAGACGACCCCTATTTTTTTGAACCCAGAATTAAGAAAACAATATTTTAAACATCAAACAGGGCGGTGGGTGGGGGTGGGAGCCAAAGTTTTTTGACTAATTATTTTAGCCAAAAAACATGGGAAAAAATAAGGTAATTTAATAACAGAACAAGAAATTATACCAATCATTTCATTAGCATTAGTGGGTACATGGGGTGAGCCAAATGAGTAAGATTTTGATTTTAAAAGAAGGCTGTGTTTAATGTTACCTGCCAGGATGGTTATCACAAGAAAACAGAAATATCCACAGGGTTGAAAAAAAAAGATTATGGTATATAATTGTTTTAACTAAAATATTTTAGGTATACCATGGTTTGCTGCTCTTGGGGCATACTGTATGTAACACAACGCTGTATTGTATCTCCTTTGTTTATAATGTCATTCTGTGCTATATGCCCGTGTGAGGTGCAGTAAAAAGTGGGAAGGTCACACAACACGGTGAGTGGTCACATTATTTTAAAATTCACATACAGCTCCCCACCTGTGCCAACAGTTAAAGCACATTAATGGAAAGGGCAAACTCTCTGCTGACTTTCATAGGTGGAGGAATAATGAAGATTGCAAGAAATGCCTGGGAGAGGAGAAATTTTACCCTGCTTGCAAGATCTCTCTTAGCCCAAGGGACTTCGTTCATGTGCATGTGTGAAATTTGCCTCCCATTGTTTTTCCTAGCGATACAGTCTTCCCCTTCCCATGCAGGTTAATGCAGGGATCGCTTTCTTCCAATGAAAGTTCATCAAAGAAGTTAGAAGAGACTGGATCCAGAGAAATGGCTGTCCCAGAACTCCTGTGGTAAAGAGGTCCTTGCTCAGGGGTCAGCAAACAGTACGTTTCTGAGCACAATTCAAAGTGTTGGTGTTGACTTTTAAAGCCCTAAACGGCCTTGGCCCAGTATACCTGAAGGAGCGTCTCCACCCCCCTCGTTCTGCCCAGCGCCAAGGGCCTTCTGGTGGTTCCCACATTGCGAGAAGCAAAACTACAGGGAACCAGGCAGAGGGCCTTCTCGGTAGTGGCGCCCTCCCTGTGGAACACCCTCCCATCAGATGTCAAAGAGATAAACGACTACCTGACATTCAGAAGACATCTTACGGCAGCCCTGTTCAGGGAAGTTTTTAATGTGTGACATCTAACTGATTTTTTAGTCTTTGTGGAAGCCGCCCAGAGTGGCTGGGGAAACCCAGCCAGATGGGCGGGGTACAAAAAATTATTATTATTATTATTATTGATTGATTGATTTTTTTCCAGTAGGGGACCAGTCCACTGTCCCTCAGACCTTGTGGGGGGCCGGACTATATTTTGAAAAAAAAAAATGAACAAATTCCTATGCCCCACAAATAACCCAGAGATGCATTTGAAATAAAAGGACACATTCTACTCATGTAAAAACACGCTGAAATCCAGACCGTCCGTGGGCTGGATTTAGAAGGCGATTGGGCCGGATCCAGCCCCCGGACCTTAGTTTGCCTAACCATGTCCTTGCTGGAGGAGAGATTTTTCTCCAGCAATTTCTGGAGTCCCACCACAAAAGCATTCCCAGCATTGCTGCTCTGATCAAATGGTAGCGTTCCCTCTGTTTGCTTTGAAGCAAAACCAACTTGTTAGGAGATAAGGAGCATAGATCTCCTGTACATAACATGTCTGCTTTCTACTGAGTTGAATAGGATCCAAAATGCAGCAGTCTGATTGGTCCTAGAACAATAGGATTCAGAATGCAGCAGTCTGATTGGTTCTAGAACAATAGGACCCAGAATGTAGCAGTTTGATTGGTCCACAGGGGCCACCCAATCCAGCTCCAGGTGGAAATGAATCCTCAACCTGATTGGCCTACAGGAGAATCCCAGAATTAGCCAATCACGTGAGGCCCGTTGTGTAAATAATGTATATAAGGCAGACATTCTGGGGGAACTTCCATTCCTCCTCACCACTATGAACTGAATAAAGAGCATGAAATACACTCTCGACTCTGAATATATTTCACTGTCGTTTGGCTCCCACACGTGTGACTATCTCATTAACATGCTATGAATTGGATTTAAAACAAGTGAACAGAAACAAAACAGAGAAGAATGAGAAATATACCGGGGAGGTAAAGGTAAAGGTACCCCTGCCCGTACGGGCCAGTCTTGCCAGACTCTAGGGTTGTGCGCTCATCTCAATCTATAGTCCGGGAGCCAGCGCTGTCCGCAGACACTTCCGGGTCACGTGGCCAGCGTGACAAGCTGCATCTGGCGAGCCAGCGCAGCACACGGAATGCCGTTTACCTTCCCGCTGGTAAGCGGTCCCTATTTATCTACTTGCACTTAAGGGTGCTTTCGAACTGCTAGGTTGGCAGGCGCTGGGACCGAACGACGGGAGCGCACCCCGCCGTGGGGATTCGAACCGCCAACCATGCGATCGGCAAGTCCTAGGCGCTGAGGTTTTACCCACAGCACCACCCGCGTCATACCGGGGAGAGTACCACCCAAAAAGAATAAAATAAAATAAAAATCAGGTGTCCATAATTACACCATTCAAAATGCTGGGTATTATTGGTGCAATCAAAATATTATTATTTATTAAAATTGTACACTGGCCTTCATCCAAAGTTCACAGGGCGCTTCATAACATAAAAATAAAAAATGAGAAAACAAAATGCATAATAAAACAAAAACAAAACAACCTCACTCCTACATTTAAAAAGCCATAGACTGTTAAACAGCCCAATGCCTGGTTGAAGAGAAAAGTTTTCGCCTGGCGCCTAATGTAAGGGTGTGCCAAGCAAGCGTCCCGGGAGAGAGCATTTCACAAATGGGGAGCCACCACAGAAAAGGCCTGTTATCGTGTTGCCAGTTTCCAAACCTCTCATGAAGGGGTTCCTCTTGAAGGGCTTCAGATGATGATTGCAGGGAAATTTTTTTTCCTGGGGGGGGCCACAGGGGTACGCATACCCCTAAACATTTTGAGAATCTTTGTATTTTACTGTATTTATTTTTCCTGATTTGAACTATAATATGGTGATTTTCTAGAGTCAAAATGAGAGTACCCCTAAACATTTTTTTAAGAAAAAAAGCACTGATTGCAGGGTCCAGGTTGGTTCAAATGCAGAGAGGCAGTCTTTGAGTACAGCAGTTTCAAATAGGAAGTCAAAATATGAAGAAAACATTTATGTTGGAACTAGTGTTTTTTTCCCTTAAAAAAATGTTTAGGGGTACTCTCATTTTGACCCAAGAAAACCACCATTTTATAGTTCAAATCAGGGAAAATAAATACAGTAAATGGACAAAAGTACAACGAGTCACAAAATGTTTAGGTGTATGCGTACCCCTGCGTCCCCCCCAGAAAAAAAAAACATTCTGTGGTTGGAATAATAATAATAATAAAAAATTTTATTTATATCCCGCCCTCCCCAGCCAAAGCCAGGCTCAGGGCGGCTAACAACAAACAAATAATCAAACAATCAAATAATCCAACATTCTAAAACATTTCATTATAAAAATTAATTAAAATCAAATTAATGGCAACCGTTAAGCAAAGTTCTGTGCAGGTTGCCAGAGGTGGGAGTCAGGCTGGGTCCTGACCAAAGGCCTGGTGGAACAACTCTGTCTTGCAGGCCCTGCGGAAAGATGTCAGGTCCCGCAGGGCCCTAGTCTCTTGTGACAGAGCGTTCCACCAGATCGGAGCCACAGCCGAAAAAGCCCTGGCTCTAGTTGAGGCCAGCCTAACCTCTCTGAGGCCTGGGACCTTCAGGATGTTTTTATTTGCAGACCGTAGGTTCCTCTGTGGGGCATACCAGGAGAGGCGTTCCCGTAGGTACGAGGGTCCTAGGCCGTATAGGGCTTTAAAGGTTAAAACCAGCACCTTAAACCTGATCCTGTACTCCACCGGGAGCCAGTGCAGCTGGTATAGTACCGGATGAATGTGATCTCGCAGCGAAGACCCCATAAGGAGTCTCGCCGCGGCATTCTGCACCCGCTGGAGTTTCTGGGTCAGTCTCAAGGGCAGCCCCACGTAGAGCGAGTTACAATAATCCAGTCTGGAGGTGACCGTCGCGTGGATCACAGTGGCTAGGTCAGGGCGAGAGAGATAAGGGGCCAACTGCCCAGAACACATTTCTGGGTAAGTGTGCTTAGCTTCCTAGCTCTAGGCTGTTTTTGCATGACCAGTGGAAACAGTATAAGAGCTACCAGACCAAATCCTGAACTTTCCTGAGCATATTAGGGTATGTTTGCTCAAGGTGAAAGCTGTGTATACACCCTACAAACCAAAAAGGAAATTCCGTTTACTGTACTAACTTCAAATTTCGATTCCAGGTTTATTGAAAATATATATTACAGCATAATTTCGGAGAAAAATAAGACAACTCTTTTCAAAGTTCACAAGGGGACAGCATATAGATCGCCGGACACAGTGCTTCAAAGCAAACGGGGCTGTCGCAAGTGTGAGCCAACCTCTAACTTACTAAGGCCAACAGTAAAAGTCCTTAATCCAGAGTCCAAAAAATTGGAGGGAGACCCTAAAAATGTAGCAGAAGCATTTCCGCACACTGGTTTCGATGATCTAGTTTGTGCAGAAATGATTCCACTAGATTCATAGAGTGTCGTTTGGAAGGGGTGACACCTCATCGCTTCGTCATTTCTCGAACTGTCTCCAGTTCTTCTATGGGCTTCCATTGCTGGTTGATTGTTAGATGCTACCAGGCATTTTAAGACAAAAACAAGGGAAAAAGAGCAAAGTGTTAAAACAAACCCAACCCAAACTCAAAGCATATCATGTAGCAATTTCTCCCCAAATACCAGTTATGTTGTACATTCATGATTTTCATTACACGGGCAGCTAACCGTAGAAGCAAGCCATCGTCCTTCTTATCGTATTATTCAGATGAGCAGTTGAGCATTTTGCATAGTACTCCTTTAAAAATCTGGATTTTAATTTATTTTACCTGTTTCTATTTTATCTTGTTGCTAAGTCACTTTGAGACTATTTTTATTAAGGGACAAATAAATGCACTTAATCATCATCATATAAACTATATATTTACTAGATGCAAAGCTTTTTTTTCAGCCATTGCCATTATAAGAGAGCAAGGCAGGTGTTCATGGTGAGTTCCGGCACTTGTTTTTTCTAGAAAAATAGCACTGGAATGTAAATCTTTGTCATAATTATGAGCATGATTTATCCCACTTTTAAACTGCCCTTCATCAAGAGCGATCACATTGCAGTTCACAAACATTAAACGTGGCATTGGGTCCAGATCTTTATTATTTAGCCAAAAGCCATCAATTGTACAAAATAAAAGAATAAATTGCTCAGAGCATGATACAAACAAAAGTGTATTTTTGGCTGAAGGGTGATTTCCACCTAGCTCATACTCACAAGTAAATTCACTGACATAAATGAATCTATTCTGAGCAGCATTAATGTTAGAGAGCATTTTTACAGTGCAATTCTATCCTTGTCTATGCAGAAATATGTCTTCTTGCATTTTAATGAGGTTTGTTCTCATGTAAGAGGGATTAGGATTGCAGCCGCAGTAAAATAAAATAATGGGAAAGAGCAAAGTACATGCTATGTGGTGCTTATTTTTTCATGGATTGTGTCCTCTATTTTAAAGGAGGAAGGAGCAGGCACCCTGGTCATTTTCTTAATGGAGAAGTGACTCAAAATTTTTGGAAGCTGATAGAATACTGAATTATATTACAATAATAATAATAATAATACTATGTTGCCAGAGCAGTTTAAATTTATGAGAAAATTTTAATAAAAGCAACAAAAAACCAATTCCAATCAATTTTAATGTTCTTCTTTTGTTTTCGGCAGGTGCAAGATTCCTTTGCTCAAACAAGGCTTATGGAAAAATTATTATGAGGCTAGTAATTTACAAATTAGTTTACGTTTTCCATAACCAAAATTTCCACTCGAAATAAGTTGCAGAATTTTGAAACGCAGGTGCAAATAGTGCATAAGTTAATACTTTAACTCAATGCTCCTCTATATACTACAATTCTGTTGACACATTAGCAATTCTTAAAAAAAATCAACCACACACCCGGCTAATAGTTCTGTACAAAACCCCACCATTTACTTAGGGACTAAATGCCCTATAATAATTCATTTCTTGGTCAAGTATTTTCATTACCTTCTGGGGTTTGGTCGGATCCACATATTGCCACGGTTCTGGGTCAGACTTTCTTAAACTAAAAATGAAATGTCATGATCAGAAATCGCATCCTGTAATTAGTTATACTTTTAAAGGTTTCTTTAAATTAAAAATTAGTGCATTTCTACGAAGCAGGATCTTATAGCCCCGTTTAAAACACATCTACTTGGAAACAAAACTCCCGAATTCAAAGTTCCTTCAAAGCTGAAGGAAGGATGAGCTTACATCAGATCGGGTTTTCTCAACGCGTTCCAGCCAGCGAAGGTGGCTCCGAATCCAGCAAAACTCACAAACCCGATCAGAGGAATAAGCTGGAAGACAGAAGAAAGTCAGGGGTGTCCCCCCCCAAAAAAAAATTAGCAAGGTCTGGGCGATGCTTAAGCAAATCCTTAAAAGTTAAGCTCCGTCTCTGCTCTCCAAAGATGCGCTTGGAAAGGATGGCGAGGGAGGAGGGGCAGATGCTTAGCCAAAAGCCTCTTTTCCCAGCCCCTCCTCGCAAGGAGAAGGACTTCTCCGTCCATCCCAAGGATGCTCCCGCTTCTCCTTGGCCAGACTCCATCCGTCTGGCACCACCATCCCTGCATCTGCTCTCAAACTTACTTCCTTCTTCTTCATCAGCAGCTGGAAGAATCCCTTGTTCGCCATGGTGAGAAGCAGGCGCACACCTGGGAGAAAAAAGCAAGGTCCATCATCATCAGTCAGCATGCTGGGTACCACTCAGGGGGAGAGGCGCCCGCATCCCTTGGCGCTCCCCCTTCCCAATTTAATACGTCCGTTCAGGTGCAACAAATACACACCCGCAATGATAACCTGGCTGGCTGGATCCGCACTGAAGTTAAGCAGGACGTCGCTTCCCCTTTATATAGCCCGCTAACGCCCAAAGGGCTGGATGTGGCCCAAGTCACGTAGTCCGGACGAGACACCCAGCGCAGGAACCGCACCGGGATCCTGCCAATGGGTTGCGCGTTGCGCAGGGGTGGGGCGCCCCCTGCTGGATTCGCGCAGCTGCGCCACTGGAGGAGGGAGTCTGATTCCCACCCCGGTAATCGGAGGGAGATGAAGTGCCCCTTGTTACAGGAAGCGATGGGGTAGTTAGATTACCTGCCCCTCCATTAAATTAATAGGCACGTTGGTTTTGGTTTTGTTCATATTGTGATTTTAGATTTGTGAACCGGCCTAAGATCTAGGGATGTAAAATAACCATAATAATAAATGTGCATTAATTCAACAAAGGTCCGTATAGTTAAAGCTATGGTTTTCCCAGTAGTGATGTATGGAAGTGAGAGCTGGACCATAAAGAAGACTGATCGCAGAAGAAATGATGCTTTTGAATTATGGTGCTGGAGGAGACTCTTGAGAGTCCCATGGACTGCAAGAAGATTAAACCTCTCCATTCTGAAGGAAATCAGTCCTGAGTGCTCACTGGAAGGACAGATCGTGAAACTGAGGCTCCAATACTTTGGCCACCTCATGAGAAGAGAAGACTCCCTGGAAAAGACCCTGCTGTTGGGAAAGATGGAGGGCATAAGGAGAAGGGGACGACAGAGGACGAGATGGTTGGACAGTGTTCTGAAGCTACCAGCATGAGTTTGACAAAACTGTGGGAGGCAGTGGAAGATAGGAGTGCCTGGCGTGCTCTGGTCCATGGTGTCACGAAGTGTCGGACATGACTAAACGACTAAACAACAACTACAACTTCAACATGTGGGGTTCCTCTTGCTGCTTCTGCCCCTAAGCCTTGCAACACTGGCACTCCCTACACATAAGGGATGCGGGTGGCGCTGTGGTCTAAACCACTGAGCCTCTTGGGCTTGCTGATCAGAAGGTTGGTGGTTCGAATCCTTGCGACTGGGTGAGCTCCCGTTGCTCTGTCCCAGCTCCTGCCAACCTAGCAGTTCGAAAGCATGTCAAAGTGCAAGTAAATAAATAGGTACCGCTGTGGCAGGACGGTAAACGGTGTTTCTGTGTGCTCTGGTTTCCGTCACGGTGTCCTGTTGTGCCAGAAGTGGTTTAGTCCTGCTGGCCACATGACCCGAAAAGTTGTCTTTGGACAAACAACGGCTCCCTCAGCCTGAAAGTGAGATGAGCGCCACAACCCCATCGTCGCAAGCACAATTCCCAGGTTTTTTTGGAGGAAGCCCTGCACTTTGAAATGTACAATGTGTATACCGCCCAAGTCTCAAGTGCAATTATCCTCCCCCTGGCAAGGTTTATAAGCCAGTTTTTAAAAACTGACTAATAGTCTGGAAAGAGCTATGTCGAAACTTACTGGAAGAAATGGCAAAACCTGCTGGAAGAATAATAAATCAAGATAACAAACTTTTAATAAAAGAATGGAAATGGTTTATTGAATATTTACAGATCAATTGTAAACAGATAAGAACATTGGCAGGATTATTAATAACCTGCCGTTTCTTAAGCGTATATATTAAATAAAGTAGATGAAAAACTGAGCAAATAAAGTTAATTTGGATATGCAGAAGATATTAAAAATAAATTTAAGGAACTGCAGAAAGAGGGGGAAGGAGGTCAAGTTTTGAAATGTTAAAGTAATTGTAAAATTAGTGAAAGCTATAAACCTGAAAAGCATAAATAAAAATTTTTAAAAGTATGGAAAGAGCTTTGCCTTGTTGGAGAAATTGCCTGGAGATCATTAGATTGCCTGGAGATATTTTATTTTAACATCTTTATTGAAAGTTCAAAAGCATAATTATATGTGCACTAAACATTGTAAGACGTAAATAAAAGAGAGAGAAAGAGAAACTGAAACCGTGTAGAAGGGAAAATATAAAGGGGGGGGGGGACCCAGAGACCCCCTTGTTATAGCAGTTAAAACAGTTTCCCACTGAGCACACAAGCAGGACTTGAGTGTGACAATTATCTCCCCTCCTGCAGTTTTCAGTAATTGCTGTTCAGAAGCTTCCTACCTCTGGCTATGGAGGCAGAGCATAGTCACCGGGGAAAGATAGCCCTGCCCTCCATGAATCTGTGCTGTGCAAAAGGGCCCCTTGTCCCATACCCATTTTGGGCTGTGTGCCTGCATGCCGGAGTTTCCCCTACTTCAGAGGTATAACTTTATTATTCAGTGCCTGTTTTGCTTGTGCTTCAGACATTCATCATAAAGCATGACACAATCGCAGGATGAATCTTTATTTATTTATTTTAGGTCTCTTAGTGCAGGCACGTCCAACAGGTAGATCGTGATCTACCAGTAGATCACTGGACTGTTGTGGTTAGATCACAGGTAGATCACTGGCTCCCCCCAAAGAAGCTCAACAACTTTGACCTGAACCCCCCAAAATGGGGTAGATCACTGCCAGTTTTTAACCCTGTGAGTAGATCGCAGTCTCTTGGGAGTTGGTCACCCCTGTCTTAGTCATTCTGTCCTGGCGCTTAGGTAATGGCTCTGCCAGATTTCCCCAATCTACACTGAGGTCCTTTTCTGTTGCAAGGCTGTACTCTACTGGCATTTTCAACAAACACAATAGCTGCTCTTGGGGCATACTGTACAGAGTACAGAATACAGAATACGCAGATGGTGCTGTGGTCTAAACCACTGAGCCTTTCGGGCTTGCTGATCGGAATGTCGGTGGTTTGAATCCCCACAACAGAGTGAGCTCCCGTTGCTCTGTCCCAGCTCCTGCCAACCTAGCAGTTCAAAAGCACACCAGTGCAAGTAGATAAATAGGTACAGCTGCGCTGGGAAGCTAAATGGCATTTTTGTGTGCTCCGTTTTCCGACATGGTGTTCCGTTGCACCAGAAGCGGTTTAGTCATGCTGGCCACATGACCCAGAAAGCTGTCTGTGGACAAACGCTGGCTCCCTCAGCCTGAAAAGCGAGATGAGTGCCCTAACCCCATCGTCGCCTTTGACTGGACTTAACCATCCAGGGGTCCATTACCTTTTACCTACAGAATACAATGCTGTATCTCCTTTGTTTATAATGCCATTCTGTACCAAATGCCCCTGCAAGGTGGAGTAAAAGGTGGGTGGGGTCACACAATATGGAAAGTGGGTGGTGCGTGAGAGGTTACGTTATTTTCTAAGATCATGTATGTCATGGGTAGGCAAACTAAGGCCCAGGGGCTGGATGCGGCCCAATCGCCTTCTAAATCCGGCCTGTGGACGGTCCGGGAATCAGCGTGTTTTTACATGAATAGAATGTGTCCTTTTATTTAAAATGCATCTCTGGGTTATTTGTGGGGCATAGGAATTCGTTCATTTTTCCCCTCCAAAATATAGTCCAGCCCACCACAAGGTCTGAGGGACAGTGGACCGGCCCCCTGCTGAAAAAGTTTCCTGACCCCTGTATAATTTGAATGTGAAGCTCCACACCTGTACACAGCTAATGTACATTAATGGAGAGAGCACATTTTCACAGGTGGAAAGAAAATGAAGCCCCCCAGAAATGGCCAGGCGGGGAAAATCTCAGCTTGACAGAAAGGACGAGAAAAGACCCCATACCCAGACTCTTGTTGTTAAGTTGTGGGTGAACATATCAGACGACACAGCGATTCTTCAAACAGCTCTTGTTTATTCACAGGCCAGAACAAAACTGAACTGAAGGGTTCAGCCAGCCTGTTTATATAGAGCTCCAGTACAACGTAACTGTAATAACTTTCTGTAACTATCCAATCACTGAACGTCACTTTCAATCCCTTATTTGCATATGTGGACCTGAGTGAAAACTATCTACAGTATCCCCCTGCTGGCCCAGGGTGAGAACTTCAGTACATAACACTTGTGGTCAAGCGGTTGTTGCTGCGGGGGGGGGGGGAGGAGATTCCTCCCTTCTCCGAACAAATGTTGATGCCCTGTATATTTTCTCTGAAGTAAATATCAACTTGTCAGGAGAATAGATCTCCCACACATAACATGTCGTTTGGCTCTCAAGCCTGTGCCTATCCCGCTAACATGCTCTGAACTGCATAAAAAAATACATGAGAATAAAAAAAAAGAGTGCAGAAAAATGAGCAATATATTGGGGAAACTACCACCTAGAAAGAAGGCAGCAAAAAAACCCCCCAAAAAACAAAACCAATCCAGGTGCCAAGAATTCTCGGATTCAAAATGTACACATGCTGAATTTGTAGAATATTTTCTGTATGTTTGGATTACTGGTATGTTTTTTCTCAGTACTGACTTGATGTTGCTGTTGAATATGAGCTCTGAGCCACAAGGACATTTTTGTTTCTAATCTCAGTTCAGCTATGTGCTCAATAAATAGGCTTAGGATCCAATTAAACCAAATACCAGTAGCGGTGGCAAGGCAATTTTGGTCAAAGCAGTAATCAAGATTGGGCAGTGTGGCTGTAGTTAGGATGTTGGACTAGGACCTGTTAGAGCAGGGTGTGAATCCCCATGCAGCGCTCATCCAGACTTCAGCTTTTCCCATCAAATTTCCCAGGGGAAATCCATTCTTTACGCTGAATTGGCGCAAATGTCAACTGCATTTCCCACGGATTGATCGCTCCGATTCAGCACTAAAGAGCAGGTTTTCCTGTGGAATGTGGTGGGGCAAACAGAAAACCATGGGAGAAGCAGCAAATCGCTTGGATTTATTTATTATTATTATTATTTGAATTTATATACCACCCTATACCCAGAGGTCTCAGGGCGGTTCACAGAATAAAATCAAAATATAAAACAAACCAATAACACCCCCCCCCGCAAAACATTTAAAAAGGGCATAGGATGTCAAATCAAATCAACCAAATGCCTGGTTAAAAATGAACGTTTTTGCCTGGCGGTTCTAAATGTGCTTCTGATGCATTTTGATTATTGTCTGAAACTAGCTTTTTTTTTATTACTTTGTATGATGCTTTAAACACTGGGAGCTGCCTTGAATCCCAATTTGGGGAGAAGAAGGAATATAAAATTATAGAGAGTTGGAAGGGACCTCAGGGGTCATCTAGCCCAACCTCTTGCGATGAAGAAATCTCAACACGTTGTTCCCCATCCAATCTGAAACCATACCAGACCCTGCTTAGCTTTGCTAAATAAATGAACTGCACTTAGGACTTACAAGAAAGGGAGCAGCAAGTGAACTAATCCTTTTCTGCCTATGTATCACATTTCTTTGGGTTGTTTTAATAGCTTCTGCAGGGAGGACTGGGCCAGTTTTTCTTATTAATCAGAAGCAGGTGCTTAAGGACTCCTGAAAGGCTGATTTTCCAGCTGGTTATGTGGTTTGCTTTCAAGGCATGGAACAAGTGGAACTGGGCATGAGCCATCAGCCGGACATCATCTTGGGTTGGTTGTGGTGTCTCAGGGTTGTTGTGCGGATAAAATGTGGAGAGGGAGAATTCTGTGCACCACACTAAGCAACTAAGAGGAAAAGCAGACTATGAAAGCAACGCCTTTCCTCTGCTCTTGCAGTCCTGACAAAAATTGTCCCCATCTCTCGTGGCTGTTATTAAACTCCTCAAGGAAACGTTCCGTGGGTTGAAATAGAAAGCTCCTTCCAGGGACTAGAAGCAGTTTTGGGGTAAATCAATTTTTGTGCATTTTGTGATTGTGCATTTTCTTATCTCACGTGGAAAAAACCTGGGAGAATGAAATTTGTTCTTTTTAAGTATTTTCCAAAAAGGAAAGTGTATCAACACAAAGGCAGGTAGAAAGAAACCCAGATATTTCTCCGAAGTAAAGATTAAAGAGACTCAATCAGCTGAAGTTAGAGAACTAATTTAAGAGTCCCTGCTCCACAGTATAACAACAACAACAACAACAACAACAACAACAACAACAATAATAATAATAACCATAAAGGATTGTAACCATGCTAGGATTGATCTTTGCCCCTGTTAACCAAAAAGGAAATTCTGTTTGCTGACCTAACTTTAAACTGAAACTCCAAGTTTATTGAAAATGCAAATTACAGTATTATTTCAGAGAAAAATAAGCCGACTCTTTTTAAAGTTCACAAATGGATAGAATATAGCTCACTGAACTCCACGTTTCAAAGCAATGACATCTCATCCCTTTGTTATTTTTCTTACTTTCTCCAGCTCTTCGATGGGCTTCCATTGCTGGTTTATAGTTATATGCTACCAGGCATTTCAAGACAAAGAGACGAAAGAGCAACATGTTAAAAAATGCAAACACCAACCCAATTATCTAGTAGCAATTTCCCCCAAAATATTGGGTAATTTGTACATTCATGATTTTCATTACACAAGAAGCTATATATGGAGTAAGCCATTGCTCTTCATACTGTATTGTTGGTTGAGCAATTTAGGAATTTTGTAATGTATAGTTCATTTAAAAAAAATAATAAAGAAATTTGGCTTTTAATACAGTACATTTTTCCTGTTTGCATTTTACCTTCTTATTAAGTCACTTAGAGACGCTTATATACCATATTTTTCGCTCTATAAGATGCACCGGACAATAAGACACACCTAGTTCTTGGAGGAGAAAAACAAGAAAAAAAATATTCTGAATCCCAGAAGCCAGAACAGCAAGAGGGATCGCTGCGCAGCGAAGCAGCGATCCCTCTTCCTGTTCTGGCTTCTGGGATAGCTGCGCAGCCTGTATTCGCTCCATAAGACGCACACACACTGCCCCTTACTTTTTAGGAGGGAAAAAGTGAGTCTTATAGAGCAAAAAATACGGTATATATAAAATGACCAACAAATGCAGTAATTAAAACATTATAAACTAGATCTTTACTACGTAAACCATTCAAATAATATTGGCCATGAGATAGCCAAAGTCAAGCCCTTCTTCACTTTATCACACGAAAACCATCCTTCATCAAGAGCGATCGCACTGCAGTTTACAAACATTAAAGGTGGCATTGTGTCCAAATCTCTGTATTTAGCAAAAGTTCACCACTTGTACAACCACTCTATTAACACATCAGCCTATATGAAAAATCGCTAATATTTCTGAATGAAAACCCACAATATACTTAGGAACTATAACCATTCATTTCTTGGTCAAGCATTTTCATTACCTTCTGGGGCTTGGTAAAATCCACATCTTGCCATGGTTCTTGGTTGCCAGACTTATTAAAACTAAAAATGAAATGTATTGATGATCAGATATGGTGAAATGACTTCTTGTATTTAACTGTATTATTACAGGGGCCCCACCCCCTTTAATCACTTTTACAAAACTGGTCCTTATAGCCCAGTTTAAAATACATCTACTTGGAAATAAGCTCCCAACCCCACATTAAAAAAATCCTGTGGCTGATTTAAGATGAAAGAAGGGCTGTGTTGCTTACACAACATCAGGTTTTCTCAGAGAGTGCCAGCTGGAATAGACTGCGAAGCATCCAGCAGATCCCACGAATCCAATCAGAGGAATCAGCTGGAAGAGAGAAGGAAGACAGGGATTTCTCTTAGCAACATCGAGGTGATGTATGGGTCTTACGTAAATTAAGTGCCATCCCTCCTCTAAAGAGGGACGCGGGTGGCGCTGTGGGTTAAACCACAGAGCCTGGGACTTGCCGATCAGAAGATTGGCGGTTCGAATCCCCGCAACGGGGTGAGCTCCCGTTGCTCGGTCCCTGCTCCTGCCAACCTAGCAGTTCGAAAGCACATCAAAGTGCAAGTAGATAAATAGGTACCACTCTGGCGGGAAGGTAAATGGCATTTCTGTGCGCTGCTCTGGTTCGCCAGAAGCGGCTCAGTCATGCTGGCCACATGACCCGGAAGCTGTACACCAGCTCCCTTGGCCAATCAAGCGAGATGAACGCCGCAACCCCAGAGTTGGACACGACTGGACTAATGGTCAGGGGTCCCTTTACCTTTACCTTTTACCTCCTCTAAAGACGAGTTTGAAAGGATGACAAGTGAGGAGGAGATGACTCTCAGAAAATCTCTCTCCCCAGTGCTTGCATTCTCCTTGCTTGGCTCAATGAAGAACCTTATACAGTGGTACCTTGGTTCTCAAACTTAATCCGTTCTGGAAGTCTGTTCCAAAACCAAAGCGTTCCAAAACCAAGGCGCGCTTTCCCATAGAAAGTAATGCAAAATGGGTTAATCCGGCCCAGACTTTTAAAAACAACCCCTAAAACAGCAATTTAACATGAATTTTACTATGTAATGAGACCATTGATCCATAAAATGAAAGCAATAATCAATGTACTGTACTATAAAATAAATAAGACAGTATTATAGATGACAAAAATTAAAATTATTATTTTTTCTTACCTGCACTGATGATAGTCATTCTTTGGATGGGGGGCTTTTATCCATTTCCACAGTCACACAAAAATCAATTAATCAATCAATAGCTGAACTGGGTTCCACACAGTCACAAAAACAAATGAACCAAAAAAGCCTCAAAAACACAAGATAAATAGCAAAAACAAAAGCGCCAAACTTAATCCGTTCTGGAAGTCTGTTAGAAAACCAAGGCGCAGCTTCTGATTGGTGCAGGCGCCCCAGAAAAAATAGCTGACAGCTGGATCTGACATTCGGCTTCTGAAAAACGTTTGCAAGCTGGAACACTTACTTTTGGGTTTTTGTCGTTTGGGAAACAAGGTGCATATATATGCATATATGCTTATATGCAGAGGAACGGATGATAACCCAGACTCCATCCATCTGGTGTCAGTCCTGCATCTGCTTTAAAACTTACCTCCTTCTTCTTCATCAGCAGCTCGAAGAATCCCATATTCGCCATGGTAACAAGCAGGGGCAGACCTGGGGGAAAAACCAAATTCCAGAGATACCTTCAGTAAGCATCCTTGGGTACCACCCAGGGAAGAGGTATGCACTGCTTGACACTCCAGCTTTTTTATATACACTTCTCCATCCCAGGATTTAATAAGTCAGTTCTAGTGCTTCCCCCACAAGGACAAACTGGCTGTTTGGATCTGCTCCGAAATTCAGCAGGAGGCAGTTTCCCCTTTATATAGCCTGCTAAGCGATGACAAACCTAGACAGCATCTTAAAAAGCAGAGACACCACCTTGCCGACAAAGGTCCATATAGTTAAAGCTATGGTTTTCCCAGTAGTGATGTATGGAAGTGGGAGCTGGACCATAAAGAAGGCTGATCACTGAAGAATTGATGCTTTTGAATTATGGTGCTGGAGGAGGAGACTCTTGAGAGTCCCATGGACTGCAAGAAGATCAAACCTATCAATTGTGAAGGAAATCAGCCCTGAGTGCTCACTGGAAGGACAGATCGTGAAGCTGAGGCTCCAATACTTTGGCCACCTCATGACAAGAGAAGACTCCCTGGAAAAGACCCTGATGTTGGGAAAGATGGAGGGCACAAGGAGAAGGGGACGACAGAGGACGAGATGGTTGGATAGTGTTCTCGAAGCTACCAGCATGAGTTTGACCAAACTGCGGGAGGCAGTGGAAGACAGGAGTGCCTGGTGTGCTCTGGTCCATGGAGTCACGAAGAGTCGGACACGACTAAACGACTAAACAACAACAACAACACCTGACAGCTGGGTGTGTCCCAAGTCACATAGCCTGGAGGAGACACACAGTAGAACAGGGGTAGGCAACCTAAGGTTCAGGGGCCGGATGCGGCCCAAATCACCTTCTCAATCCGGCCCACGGACGGTCTGGGAATCAGTGTGTTTTTACATGAGTAGAATGTGTGCTTTTATTTAAAATGCATTTCTGGTTTATTTGTGGGGCATAGGAATTCGTTTATTTTTATTTTTTTTCAAAATATAGTCGGGCCCACCACATGGTCTGACGGACAGTGGACTGGCCCACAGCTAAAAAACGTTGCTGACCCCTGCAGTAGAGGAACTGCACCCCGAACCTGCCAATAAATATATTTATACTCCGAACCTGCCAATATATATATATATTTATACCCCACCCATCTGACTGGGTTGCCCCCAGCCACTCTGGGCGGCTTCCAACATATATAAAAACATAATAAAACATCAAACATTAAAAATCTTCCCTATACAGTTTCCCTGTATAGTTCCTTATCTCCTTGGCTCAGGGGTCACATAACTGCATACCCCCCAACATCTCTCCAATGAAAATAAGGACGTCCTAAGGAAAAACGGGACATTTGGGGATCAAATCAGCAACCGACATGGTTTCTGTAAATCCGGGACTGTCCTTGGAAAATAGGGACATTTGGAGGGTCTGGACGGGCCCTGATCCAGTAGCCTCTTCTTATGTCCAAAACAATATCAGGCCTTCTCTGCAGCGGCTCCCCGTCTGTCGAATGCTCTCCCCAGGGCAGTTCACCTGACACTTTCATTATACACCTTTTCATTTTTCTTTTATATATTGCGGTTTTTACGTTGATCTTTTCTGTGAACCGTCCTGAGCCCTCTGGGTATAGGGCGATATATTAATATTAATATTAATATTAATAATAATAATAATAATATCGTGGTCTAAAATCCTCCCTTCACACAACGAAGGAGAGGCACATACAAACCCTTAAATCTCAACAACACCCCCAAATATATACAGTGGTGCCCCGCAAGACGAATGCCTCGCAAGACGGAAAAACCGCTAGACGAAAGGGTTTTCCGTTTTGAAGTTGCTTCGCAGGACGAATTCCCCTATGGGCTTGCTTCGCAAGACGAAAATACCTTACGAGTCCTGAGATTTTTTTTCGCTTTCCCCTTTATCTAATCTGCTAAGCCTTTAATAGCCTTTAATAGCCTTTTAGCAGCTAATCCCCTAAGCCTTTAAGCCTTTAATAGCCGCTAAACCGCTAATAGCGCTAATAGCGCTAATCCGTCAATGGGCTTGCTTCGCAAGACGAAAAAACCGCTAGACGAAGACTCTCGTGGAACGGATTAATTTCGTCTTGCGAGGCACCACTGTATATATATACATACATACACAGAGAGAGAGATGAAAAGGTTTGCAGAAAAGGCTGCTTTTGGAAGGGGAATGTAGGACAATGAGTAACCCCCCCTTTCTTCAACAAAGGTTTCTTGGCATAAAAACAGACCTCCCCCCCCCCCAAGATATGGGAGGGCAGAGCAACTACACAGCCAGACCCCCAACCTAGTGCCATCCCAGCGACACCAGTAATTCCCAACCTTTTTTTAGGCCGTGCCCCACCTAAGCATCTCTAAAATCCTGAAGCCTCGCCCCCCCCCGCCATGACATCTAATTCTTATTATTCAAAAAGCGAACTCCTATTCACTTGGAGGAAGCCTAAAAGGCCCTTCACTTGGTCTAACTCGTTCTCGAATTGCCCCTCTTAAAAATCAAATTGCCCCCCAGTGGTGGGGCGTGCGCCCCACGTTGGGAACCCCGGCGCTAGGCCCAAAGCAGCCTGGAAATAACCGACACACGGCGTCTCTTTGCTTCTTCAGCTCCACTTGGATTATGGCACGCCAGGCTTTTGAACCCGGATGCGTGGCGGGCCATTGAATAGGACTAGGCCAGGATCCCCTAAACACACGGCTGTTGCTGGCGCTTAACAGATGCCCCCTCTGGCCATGTTTTATTCCTGTCTCCATCCTCCCATTTTGCAGCCGCCGTCCACTCTCTGTGCCCCCAGCGGACTAGGCCTGCCAGGCTCAATTTCACGCTCAATTCCGCCCCCCGTTCTCTTCACTTCTCTCACCGGAACCGGTGGTTTATTTTTAAGACCCTTGACAGCTAGGAGTGGCGGAAAGCGATGGAGTGGAATGGTCCGTCTCTCTCTTTTCCGCCTGCAATGCAAAGAGCAGTACACCAAGGTGGGCAAGGCTGCTTGTCCCATTGTGATGTTGCATGCGAGAATTGCAGAGGCAGCATGCCATAGGCTGAAAGGAAGCCAACCCGTTGCTGCAGGGGGAGGATAATATTTTAAGGGATGGGGGCTGCAGAGCATGGGATGCCCGTTTTCCAGTGGCTTTGAAAAGAGGAAGATCAAAGTGTTCTGGGGCTTAATTTACGAGGAGTTGAAAAAAATGTTTGGAATAACTTTTTTAAAAAGACCAGAGGCATTTCTGTTAAGCATTGTTGGCAGGGACATCCCGAAGGCCTTTAGGGAGGTATTCTTATTTGCAACGGCCGCAGCTCGGACTTTGGTGGCAAAGGGGTGGAAGGAACAAGAAGCCCCAACAATGACGGACTGGCATTACAAGCTACAAGAATTTGCTGAAATGGCGCAGCTAACAAATACCCTGAGAGGCAATTCAAAACAAAAATTTATGGAAAAGTGGGATATAAAACATATGTTCAAAAATACAGTAAAGGTTCGCTATCAGTGCTAGCGTTTGATTGACGTTGGAGTGAGACTGAGTTGAGAAATAATACTAAGAGCACATATTGATATAGGAATGTATTAGATACTATGTTAAGAAAAATACAATAATAAGAGTACATTCATTTGTAAAAAAGGAATATACAACGGGAAAGACAGGAAGTCTAGTGTGTTGGTATGTATATGATTTTGGGGGGGATTTTTTTTGTTTTTTCTCTTTGTTCTTTCTTTTTGTTTGTTTCATTTTCTTTCTAGGTATATAAAATTTGTATATAATTTTTGTATACATGTTGGAAATTATATTATAGTAAGTCCTGTAATGTAATATGACAACGTTTACCGATGTAATATAAGAATGTTAACAAATAAATAAAATGCAAATTCAAAAAAAAAAAAAGAAAGGAGAAAAAGAAAAAGCACGATTTTTTTTCTAATTTTATCATCATCACCATCATCATCATTGTTCCACTTCCCATCCAAAAGCAATTTACAGTATAATAAAAACATTAATAATAATAACAATAACAATAAACTTTTATTTGTATCCCACCCTCCCTGGCCAAAACCGCGCTCAGGGCGGCTAACATCAAATTTATAACACTGGTATAAAATCTAACAAGAATCAAATTACCTCCTAAAAACAAGTCAGGATCAAATTAAAATGTGAGCAGTTTTATATACAAATCAGTTACACATACAAAAACATTTTGGCATATATCAGTACACGATTTACATCTGTATATAAACATATACTTGCACTACTTCCCCCCCACCGTAAAAAAATAAGAGTGTTTTAAACAGCAGCAGACCATACATAAAACTAATTGCGGCCTCCCTGTGGAATGCCCTCCCATCAGGTGTCAAGGAAATAAAAAACTATCTGACTTTTAGAGGACATCTGAAGACAGCCCTGTTTAGGGAAGTTTTTAATGTTTGATCACATTATTATTATTATTATTATTACCCTGTTGAGAGCTGCCCAGAGTGGCTGAGGAAACCCAGGCAGAGGGGTGGGGTATAAATAATAAATTGTTGTTGCTAATAAATTGTTGTTGTCGCTATTATTATTATTCAAATGCAATACAGATGCCAGCTGAGAAGAATATATCCGTTTATATAGGTTTGTCTTTAGTGGGCACAGAAAATACAAGAGAGAATGTGCTTGTCTGATATGTAATGGAAGGGAGTTCCACAGGGTATGCGCCACCACAATAAAGTCCCAATTCTGACCTCACTCAGGATCCTTAGCTGCAGGATGCAGTAATCAGTTGGGTACACAGTAAGCCAATCCTTTGGGTATTCTCGTCCCCAGCAGTATAGGGCTTTGTATCCCAGCACCAGCGCTTTGCAATTCACTTTGGTCTTAGTAAAAGTCCATACATACAATGCACCAATCTTAATACTGTAACCCAATATTTGTACCATTATGTACTTTTTATTCCCAACCTGCAAATATCTGTTAGTGATAATAAAATAAGTAATAATAATTTTATTATTTATACCCCGCCCATCTGGTTGGGTTTCGCCAGCCACTCTGAGCGGCTTACAGCATATATAAAAAATTGTAAAACAACAGACATTAAAAATTTCCCGATACATACCTAATGAAACCAAACCCCAAACCTCCCTTTCCAGCAAAAGGAATTATAATTATTGTTTCCTTTGTTCAAGATAAATGGAGTAAATGAAGAACGCCCCCAGAAATCCACCCCAAACTGACAAAGTCCTATTTCTCCTATGTGCTAAGTGCACCTTATAATATACCGGTACTGAACTCCTTTACACAAAACTCCAGTATAATCTTATAGATCTTCAACTGTTATCAGAGACAAGGGGAAATTATATCAGGTTAATTCTTGGTTGTTTTTTCAAAGTTTTATTTATACTTTTCAAATTTATACATTTCATTAATTTTACAATCATTTTAACATTTCCAAGTTTGACTTCCTTCCTTTCTGCAGTTTCTTAAATTTATTTTTTTAGTATCTTCTGCATCTCCAAATTAATTTAATTTGCTCATTTAATTATCTAATTTAAATGTAAACTGCAGGTTATTAAAATAATCCTGCCAATGTTTATCTGTTTGCAATTTATTTGTAAATATTCAATAAACCATTTCCATTCTTTTATAAAAAGTTTGTTCTCTTGATTTCTTATTCTTCCAGTGAGTTTCACCATTTCTGCATATTCCGTAAGTTTCGTATCCGTTCTTCCTTTGCTGGGACAGGCTAATTAATGGTTTAAGATAGGGGACCGTATCAGAGTGGCAAAGCCAATACGCAATGAAAGAATGAAAAAAGGAAATATCCACACTTCATTACAAAACTGAATACCTTTATTGAATATTACGATACAAATCAGCTATATTCAGTTATAAAAACACATTTTACCTTATTATGAGATGATTAAATTATTTATGTAAAAAAAGAGCAGAAATGTGACTGTAATTGACTCTTGGAAGAATTTTTCATTTTATAAATATGAAGAATTTAACAGCACTGTGGTAAATATTCCAGAGCAGTTTGACAGCACTTCAAATTCTGGGCACCACTCAGCGTTAAGTCATTCAGCGTTAAGCTAAGCTCCATGGCTACAGTCTTTATTGGAACTGGAAAAGCTGATCGAATAGGCAAATGGTAGGCACATTAAAAAACACACAATCTTGGGACCACTCTGAAAATATACTCACAGCATTTTCTTTATATGCACAAGAGGAAACTGGTCCCGCCAGTTTGCTCAGCTGCTGTCCATAATGTCACCAAGAAACCTCTCCCCACAGAATAGGATCTAATTATTTTTTTTAATTCAGTTTCACAATTAAGATTATGACTTGAATGTGTATGTAAATGTTAAGTATATACGATTCCCTGAAATCTTGAACTTCCCTCCATGGGTTCCATTATTAATCTGTTTTGCCCTGCATCTCATATTATCCTCCATTTTCCCTTAACATCCTCATTATACCCTTTGTTGTTGTTGTTTAGTCGTTTAGTCATGTCCGACTCTTCGTGAGTCGGACTTCATTATACCCTAGTTCTTACTAAATCACAAGTGTTTTTCCAATCCGGCCAAGGTTTTTAATTCTTTGCAGTGTTCTCCTAAGTAGGCTTATACATTTCCCCCATTCTGTATTAAAGCTTTTGTCTTCTTGGTTTCTAATTCTCCCGGTCATTTTCGCCATTTCGGCATAGTCCATCATCTTTATCAGCCAATCTTCTCTGGTAGGGACTTCTATCCATAGGATCTAAATTTCACTGTAATCCCAAGAGAAACCTCTGTGATGTATATGAGCTGCCTTGAAAAAGTTTGAAGAGGCGATGGAGAAATTTACACTCTAAATAAATGAATAAACAACCATATCCCCTCTGTTCTCTTTACATATGTGTTGAATTCATCGCCAAGAGTTGTTGCCTATGTCAATGTGGATAATAAGCCCCTACTGTTTTCTCCAGAATCATTCTCGATTTCTAAACATTTTTTCATAAAATTCCAGCTCTTCGTTGGTTAGTGACGGTTTGACGATCTCCAAGGATTTTTCAAAATGTTTCTGCTTCACAGGTGTTGCTTCAACTTTGTTCTCTTGCAATGCCAATAAAGCAGCCTAAGGGGTAGAGGAGGAGAAACCGACATGAACGAAGCTTAGTTAATGAACAGAATTAAGTAAAGGCCAATCATTTCCATACGCCGACTCTGAGCATAAAACTTAACTGACTACCATCCATTATTTCTACTCCAGGTGTGGGATACCTCCAGCTCATGGACCGACTTAGGGTTTCAATTTGGCCTACAAAGCTGTTTTCCCCAAACCAGACACACCTCCCATGCACCTGATGCCATGGGTGAAATCAGGGAGAGACAAACCTGCGGTTAATAATAATAATAATAATAATAATAATAATATATTTATACCCCTGGCACTCTGGGCTGTTCCCAACAGAATATTAAAAACACAATAAAACATCAAACTTTAAAAACTTCCCGAAACAGGGCTGCCTTCAGATGTCTTCTAAAAGTCAGATAGTTGTTTATTTCCTTGACATCTGATGGGAGGGAGTTCCACAGGGCGGGCGCCACTACCGAGAAGGCCCTCTGCCTGGTTCCCTGCAACCTCACTTCTCACAGTGAGAAACCGCCAGAAGGCCCTCGGAGCTGGACCTCAGCGTCCGGGCTGAATGATGGGGGTGGAGACGCTCCTTCAGTTATACTGGGCCGAGGCTGTTTAGGGCTTTAAAGGTCAGCACCAACACTTTGAATTGTGCTCGGAAACGTACTGGGTGCCAATGTAGGTCTTTCAGGACTGGTGTTATAAGGTCCCGGCGGCCGCTCCCAGTCACCAGTCTAGCTGCCGCATTCTGGATTAGTTGTAGTTTCCGGGTCACCTTCAAAGGTAGCTGCACGTAGAGCGCATTGCAGTAGTCCAAGTGGGAGATAACCAGAGCATGCACCACTCTGGCAAGACAGTCTGCGGGCAGGTAGGGTCTCAGCCTGCATACCAGATGGAGCTGGTAGACAGCTGCCCTGGACACAGAATTGACCTGTGCCTCCATGGACAGCTGTGAGTCCAAAATGACTCCCAGGCTGCATACCTGGTCCTTCAGGGGCACAGTTACCGCAGCTCATGGACCTACTTAGGGTTTCGATTTGGCCCATGAGGCTGTTTTCCCCAAACCACACCCACCTGCCCTGCACCTGATGCCATGGGTGAAATCAGACATGGGAGAGACAGGCCTACCGTTGCCAATGCACAATTGGGAGCCTTAAAATGTGCTTCTGAATGTGCATTGGCAAAGGAGTCTTTCCTTCCCTGCGGATCAGCGGAGTGGCGGTCACAGCAAGCCTGCTGGGATCAGGCAGGATACTGAGTTCACAGGGAACTCAGTAGTGCAGATGACCTCTGTCCAAAGCAGGACATGGAGAAGTCCAGAAGGTTTGAAATTACTGCCTATCAGCCGATAGGGGATGACTCCAAGCCTGCTGGATTGGCAGTGTGACCTATTTGCCTGAGGGAATATCCCTCCGGTTAGGTGGTAACTCCAGGCCTTGCTTGACTTTATTTTTTGCCATGCTGTGAAGGGAAAATTGGTCGCCTGATGTCAGTAAGATAGGTGGCAAAGTGGGGAATCCATTTACCCACTCCTGACCTATGTAATCTTACCATCAGGGGCTGTAACGACCATTGACATGATCCTGTAAAATCTTCTTAGATTAGGAATGGAACACTAGCACGATCTGGGAGCCATTTCAATATACATTGCCAGTGTATGTCCTCATGGAAAGCAGTGACCCTCATGCTATTCACAATGCCATGAAATGCCAAAACTGCCCAACCTCCACAAGTTTGTTGTGAGAATAAAGTGTGCGTTGGGGAAGGAGACCCATGAGGTACACTGAAGTTCTTGGTGGAAGAACACAATCAAAATGTAGACAAGTCCAACACAATGGGTCTACTCCAAATACAATGCAGTGGGATCTCACCACTATATCTGCCTCTTTTGAGTTTGCTGACATACTGTATTCTTAATTTGTACCAGATACTAAATTAAATTAAGAAGCCATTTGCATTTCCCAGTTGAGATCTTCCAAGGCAAAAACAATCAAATAGCATGTAATTATTTGCAATGCTAGATTTTGTCTCTTCCTTACAAACACAAACTTCACTTCAAGTTGAGATTTTACTTCTCTCTCAAGCTTACGTGAAGCCTTTCCCCCTTAATTAGCAAAAATTAGAACATTTCAGAAAACTCTCCCAAGACTAATTAGGACTAATTAGGAAAATTAAAAGCCTTACCTCCTTGCAAAGGTTTTCAAGGTCAGCTCCAGAGAACAGATTAGCACGAGCTGCTATATCCTCTAGAGAAACATCAGGATCAACCGGAATTTTTTCAGTGCAGATTTTCAAAATAGAAAACTTTCCCTAATGTGAAACAGAAAAGAAAGGGTCAGAGTTACATATTTGTAAGAAAGAAGGCAGACGGTTGGGGAGGCTAGCTGAGAGCAGAATGATGTTTTCCTTAATGGATCACTACACATCAGATTTCAGGAACGGCATAAAATAAATACACCCTTCCAAAGCTGATAAAACTATTTGCCCATTTTAGACAGCTTCCCAAATTCCCTTATAATGGCACACTGCTGGGCAAAAAGAGCAATGGCAAACAAACTACCTATAAGGGACATTTATTCTCTGTTATTGATCTTTTCACCATGAAACCTCTGAAAAGTTTCTAAGGAATCCCAGACCTCCCTGGAACACAGTTTGAAAGCCAGTGTTCTGCAGCATTAAAGTACAAGTCCACAGTCTACTCTGAAATAGGTTTAACACATGTGTTCTTTTAAAAAAAAGAACAATTATGATATACACTGTTGAGTTCAGACATGGCACCGAACCATGGACTGGCATTATATCTAAACCTAGGTCAACTTACAAACTATGGTTTGCAAAGGGCTGTCAAACTGGGAACTCACAGCTACTATTTTATTATTTATTTCACAAAATTTATGCACCACTTAATTGTGTGTTTGTTGTTTTTGTTTTACAAAGTAGCATGCTAACTGCAGCCTGCTTTTGTGTGTCACAAAAGGCAGATGCCTCCTTAAAGGTAAAGGTAAAGGTACCCCTGCCCACACGGGCCAGTCGTGTCCGACTCTAGGGTTGCGTGCTCATCTCGCTCAAGAGGCCGTGAGCCGGCGCCATCCAAAGACACTTCCGGGTCACGTGGCCAGCGTGACGAAGCTGCAGCTGGCGAGCCAGCACCAGCGCAGCACACGGAAACGCCGTTTACCTTCCCGCTAGTAAGCAGTCCCTATTTATCTACTTGCACTTAAGGGTGTTTTCGAACTGCTAGGTGGGCAGGAGCTAGGACCGAACGACGGGAGCTCACCCCGCCGCAGGGATTCGAACCGCCGACCATGCGATCAGCAAGTCCTAGGCCCTGAGGTTTTACCCACAGCGCCACCCGTGTCCCAGATGCATCCTTAGAAAGGCACAAACTTGGGAAGCTGAGTTCTAAGTGGATGGAATATGAAAGCAGCTCTAAACACTGGCTTGCCTGCTAAATATCTGGAAGTTTAAATCCAAATCTCAACAGGCTTCATATAGCTTTCTTTGTGAAAAACGGAATGCTCGTAATTACCTATCTCTGCGGTTTAAAATTCACCTCTGGATTTGTGCCCTACCTTCCGATCTGGAGGTGGAATATAGATGATCTTGTCAAACCGTCCAGGACGCAACAAGGCATCGTCCAACATGTCTGGTCTGTTGGTTGCAGCGACGACAACGACATCTTTGTTGAAAACCTCCTGAAATTCCAGCTGGAAAATTGGCAAAAATTAAACGCTTGAAAAACAAGCATTTGCACATTATCTGTCTGTCTGTCTGTCTGTCTGTCTGTCTATCTATCTATCTATCTATCTAATTTTTATTAAATTTTCTGTTTTACAATTTAAAATATTCATTTTACCTCCTTAAGGTATCAATGACTTCCCTTCTTCTCTTTCCATGGTTCATTTTACATACCATAAATCCCTGCATATTTTAGAAAAACTATACCATTCAGTATTCCATTATTGCATCCATCAAAACTTATTTAGACTGTTGAATTTATCTTAACGCTGCCAGCATTTTCAGCTGAACACAATCATTTCCCATATATTCAATAAACGTTTTCCAATCTTCCTTAAACGTATGTTCTTCTTGTTCTCTTATTCTGTATGTTAAGTCTGCAAGTTGTGCATATTCTGCCAACTTAAGTTGCCATTCTTCTTTGGTTAGGACCTCGCTCATTTTACATTTTTGCGCTAGCAAAACACAGGCCACAGTAGTGGCATATATAAATAACCTTTTTTGACACCTGGAAATTTCAGGCTGAATTATCCCTAACAGGAAGGATTCTGGGTCTTTTAAACATCCCCCTCCCCAATTCATTATTGGGGGAAAAACGTTTAATTCACATTAACTGTATATCCTGCTTATTCACCCAAAATTAAAGGTGGCTTTAAATTACCCCATATACTTGTTTTAGACAACAAGTCAACTAAGAAAAGAATTAGGCTGCAATCCTATGAATAAATACTAGGAATAAGCCTCACTGAACTCAATGGAACATACTTCAGAGTAGACCAGGCTTCCTCAACCTCGGCCCTCCAGATGTTTTGGGCCTACAACTCCCATGATCCCTAGCTAGCAGGACCAGTGGTCAGGTATGATGGGAATTGTAGTCTCAAAACATCTGAAGGGACGAGGTTGAGGAAGCCTGGTGCAGACATACATAAGATTGTACTGTTGGAGATTTATAATTTCGCATAAAATTTGAACTGTTAGATTGCATTACAATTTGGAATGTTTTTAATGTGCCTTTTATTGGATTGTTAAAATGGAAAATTTAATAAATATTATTCGTAAAAAAAGAGACTGTACTCATGGTAACAAAAAGTTTCACTAACTCTTTTCATGTACGGGATTGTCCAGGGTTATAGAACTATGAGGCATAGATGGAAATCCTGTGGCCTTATGATGTTGAACTACAACTCCCATTGCCCTTGACAGCTGGCCAAGATGGCTGGGACTAGCTATAAGTTTCCCATCCCTGTTACGCAGTATTACAAGAAAGCCAACTAGTTCTTTATTCAGGATTTATCAGAATTAAAGCCCAATCTGAGATAATCAATGTTGTATGTAGCTTATACCCATTACAACCTTTGTAGACATAAAATGCAAAGTAAGCAAACTTATGGAAAAGGTTTCAAAGAAACCCATCTGCAGTATTTTCTCCATGCTTCCTTCTATTTATCTGTTTATATCTAACATTGCCAGTGGTGGTATTTATCAATTTAAGGGAAAATGCATTCAAGGATAACTGTGCAGAAAACCGAACAAAACGATTTTCAAAATGATTTAATAGATGGGTGGGGTATAAATAATAATAATAATAATTATTATTATTATTATTATGGACTTAAGAACTTACTACTGACGGTGTTCACTGGGGAAATGGACTGATTATTAAACCACTCTGGGAATGGAATCTCTGTGAGAGGATTACCGTATTTTTCGCTCTATAACACGCACCAGACCATAACACGCACGTAGTTTTTAGAGGAGGAAAACAAGAAAAAAAATATTCTAAACAAAATAGTGGATATATGATTATTGTAGTTCATGCTGTGGCCACAGACATGTGATCTGACAGTGAGTTTGGAGTAGCCCAATGCAAAAATCCTGAGGATCCATGTGGATCCATGCTTTGTAACCATGGAGGAAGGAAGGAAGGGGAACCATGGATCCTCTGCTCACGACTGCAGCAGATCCCCCCCGCCACCCGCAGGCATTCGCTCCATAAAACGCACAGACATTTCCCCTTACTTTCTAGGAGGAAAAAAGTGAGTGTTATGGTGCAAAAAATACGGTAAGCGTCTCCTAACAACTCTCAGGTGGACGCGGGTGGTGCTGTGGGTTGAACCACAGAGCCTAGGACTTGCCGATCAGAAGGTCGGCAGTTCAAATCCCCGCGACGGGGTGAGTTCCCGTTGCTCTGTCCCTGCTCCTGCCAACCTAGCAGTTCGAAAGCACGTCAAAGTGCAAGTAGATAAATAGGTACCGCTCCGGCGGGAAGGTAAACGGCGTTTCCGTGCGCTGCTCTGGTTCGCCAGAAGCAGCTTAGTCATGCTGGCCACATGACCCGAAAGCTGTACACTGGCTCCCTCGGCCAATAAAGTGAGATGAGCGCCGCAACCCCAGAGTTTGCCATGGCTGGACCTAATGGTCAGGGGTCCCTTTAACTTTAACAACTCTCAGGACCCTTAACAAACTACAGTTCCCAGAATTCCTTGCAGGAAGCCATGACTGTTTAAAGTGGCATGATACTGCTTTAATTCTACAGTGCATAAGGGGCCTGTGTCTGTTGTTGCAACCTAGCTTTCTGCGTTTATGCCATAACAGATTCAGCAGATAGAAATGAGCTCATCTACAAAAGCAAAAGGATGAAAAACATGAGAATTAGATACCTCTCTATCATTTTCTGTTTGTTCTCGACTGTCATTTTCCAGCTCGGCTTTATTTCCTCTCCTCTCCGTTAACTTCAGCCCAACGCCATCCAATTCATTAAGGAGGACAGAAAGAACTCTCTCCTGGACGCCACGCCCTGTTTTACTGACTGACCGAGATCCCAGGATAGAGTCGATCTCATCAAGGAATACAATTGCAGGCGCATTGGCTCTTGCTTGACGAAATACCTTGAATAAGTAAAATTAAGCGGTGGGTGGGGGAGATAGGTAGAAATCATATATCTGTGCAGAATGCATAATTTAAGTCAAATGGGGAAGACATGAATTTTTTCCCTATGTTCAAATGAAGTGTAAATTCTTCTTTGCACAGGGGTACTTTGGTTCTCAAATGCCTTGGTACTCAAACTACTGGGAACCCAAAGACTGCAAACCCGGAAGTGTTCCAGTTTGCAAACTTTTTTCGGAATCCAAACGTGCTCTGTTTTGAGTGTTACGCTTCCGATTTGAGTGCCACGCTTCCGTTTTGAGTGTCTGTCTGTTTTTGCTATTTATTTTGCGTTTTTGCGGCTTTTTTTGTTTTATTTTCGTGACACTGTGGAACCCAGTTCAGCTACTGATTGATTGTGTGACTGCAGTACATTGTTTATTGCTTTCGTTTTATGGCTCAATGGTCTTGTTAGATAGTAAAATTCATGTTAAATTTCTGTTTTAGTCAGGAACGGATTAATCCATTTTGCATTACATTCTATGGGAAAGTGTGCTTTGGTTTTGGAACGCTTTGGTTTCGGAACGGACTTCCAGAACGGATTAAGTTTGAGAACCAAGATAGCACTATACTTGCTGAAGCCAACTACAGACCCAGCAGATCACTCTGATTTGTAGGAGAGCTTCTTTTGCATGATATAAAGATCTCAGAAGCTTGCTCTGCAGTAACTCAAAGCAGTGCTTTTGGTGTGGCTGTCTCTGTTCTGTGTTTCTGTTGACCTTCGACAGGCAACCACAATCTGCACTTTCACAAAACAACTGAAGAATTTATATTTCTGACAGGCTTTACCTGCTGGATAAATAGGTATTTACCATGAGTGTCTATTTTGTTATGGTTTTATTTATTTACTTAGCTTTTTATTTATTCTTTACAAATTTATACATTTCATTAGTTTTACAATCAATTTCAGGTTTCAAAATTCGACTTCCTTCCCCCTCTTTCTGCGGTTCCTTAAATTTATTTTTTAATATCTTCTGCATATCCAAATTCATTTGACTTGCTCATTTAATTACCTACTGTAAATATATACTCTTATAAGACTGCAGGTTATTACAGCAATCCTGCTAATGTGTTTATCTGTTTATGTTCAACTGTTTTTAATTCTCTTACGTGCAAATCGCCTTGAGGTGGTTGTTTGGAAGGTGATTAAAGGCATAAAAAGTCAGCCCTGCCACACCGAGAGATAAATGGAAATCTGTGAAAAAGGCTCAATCCAAAAATTTAGCATCAAGTTGAAAGGTACTTCAATTAGCATGGCTTGTCTGAAGTTACGATGTATACAGAGTGAGACGGTAGCCCTTAATAATGAAAGTGTGGACGTAATAATAATGATAATATATTATATATACCCCACCCATCCAGCTGGGTTTCCCAAGTCACTCTGGGCGGCTCCCAACAGAATATTATTATTATTATTATTATTACTAGTGATAAAAGATAAAACATTTAAAACTTCCCTAAACAGGGCTGCCTTCAGGTATCTTCTAAAATTCAGACAGTTGTTTATTTCCTTGAAATCTGATGGGAGGGCGTTCCACATGGTGGGCGCCACTACCGAGAAGGCCCTCTCCCTGGTTTTTCTGTTTAACTGTTTTCTTAAATTATCTTATTCTGTGGACATACTGTCACCTCAGATGCAATAAAGTCGGCATAATAAAATGAGTTCTGTGCCTGCGCACTCTTTCCTGCCTTCTCTAGCACACTGTAACAGAAAACTTAAATCATTTCTGAAACCACGATTTCTTCTTGTACCCAAACCAGGAAACCAAAGTTTAATCTCAGTCTATCAGCCACAATATAAAACTAGAATCTAGCTATGGGTTACTAAAGCAGGATGGCTAGGTCTGAACCTGATCTTTATTTAATGTGGTCTATTTTCACCCAAGGACTGTAGATTACGAGGAAAATAAAAAACAAACCTGAGACAAAATCTTCTCCGAATCTCCAACGTAAGGCGAGAAAAGGTCGGCACCGCTCACAGACAGAAAGGAACAGTGACAGCTTGTGGCTGCTGCTTTTACAAGCGTAGTTTTGGCGCAACCTGACGGTCCGTACAAAAGGATGCCCTTTGGGCGGGCAAGCCCCATTCTCACAAAAGCTTCTGGGAATTTTATAGGCCATTCAATGCTCTGCAAATACAAAAAAGCCATAGAAACTTCCATTAATTCCTTATAACATTAGATCATACAAGGCAACACTGAATGGGGTAACTGTGCCCCTGAAGGATCAGGTGCGCAGCCTGGGAGTCATTTTGGACTCACAGCTGTCCATGGAGGCGCAGGTTAATTCTGTGTCCAGGGCAGCTGTCTACCAGCTCCACCTGGTACGCAGGCTGAGACCCAGCTGCCCACAGACTGTCTCGCCAGAGCTCTGGTTATCTCCCGCTTGGACTACTGCAGTGCACTCTATGTGGGGCTACCTTTGAAGGTGACCCAGAAACTGCAATTAATCCAGAATGCGGCAGCTAGACTGGTGACTGGGAGCGGCCGCCAAGACAGTATAACATCAGTCCTGAAAGACCTGCATTGGCTCCCAGTACGTTTCTGAGCACAATTCAAAGTGTTGATGCTGACCTTTAAAGCCCTAAATGTCCTCAGCTCAGCTGAGACGGGAAACCCAGCCAGATGGGCCGAGTAGAAATAATAAATTATTATTACACCTGAAGGAGTGTCTCCACCCCGATTGTCTAGCTTGGACACTGAGGTCCAGCTCCGAGGGCCTTCTGGTGGTTCCCTCCCTGCGAGAAGTGAGGTTACAGGGAATCAGGCAGAGGGCCTTTTCGGTAGTGGCGCCCACCTTGAATGCCCTCCCATCAGATGTCAAGGAAATAAACAACGATCTGACTTTTTTAGAAGACATCTGAAGGCAGCCCTGTTTTGGGAAGTTTTTAATATTTGCTGTTTTATTGTGTTTTTAATATTCTGTTGGGAGCTGCTCAGAGGGGCTGGGGAACCCAGCCAGATGGGAGGGGTATAAATAATAAATTATCCAGAGAGAAATAGCTTTCTGCTAAACAAACATCATTCCTGGTTTTGAGTTTCCTTTAAGACTTTGAGCTGACAACTTTCTCTGCATTCTACACTCAACTGCACTGAGCGTAGGGGCCTTCTCTGCAGTGGCTTCCCGTCTGTGGAATGCTCTCCCCAGCGAAGTTTGCCTGGTGCCTTCATTATACACCTTTAGGCGCCAGGTAAAAACGTTCCTCTTTAACCAGGCCTTTGGCTGATTGATATCCGATGCCCTTTTAAAATGTGTTGAGGGGTGTTAATTGGGTTGTTTTTGTTTTTATTACGCATTTTGTGTTTTTATATTGCAGTTTTATGTTGTAACCACCCTTAGACCTGTGCGTATAGGACAATATACAAAAAATTAATTAATAATAATAATAATAATAATAATAATAATAGTTGCTCCTTCTGACATTTCTAGTCTGGTCCAAGGTTATGGTCTGAAGGCAGTAAACCAGCTTGCAAAGGAAAGTTCCCCTCTGCCCCATTTCCTCTGTCATTGTAGAGGAATAATTCTCACAAAACTAACAAAGCATTTTGAACCCTCTAAATAAGCACAAGGAACCTCTGGATACTGGTAGATTCAAACTCCCACCAGCCCCTACCAGTATCAACAATGGTCAGGATTGAGCAACCTCTTGGAGGGCCACTGTTTCCTGATTCCTGTTTTAAGCGGTCATCTAAATCTGGCTACAATCTTACATGTTATTTTGTCTCTACATCAGTAGTGCTATAAACATCTCCCCAAGCTCCATGAGGGGAGAGAGCTGGAAATGTGATAAATAAAGTAATAATTGCAGAATCCAAGACCTGTGAAAGTATAGCCACCCTTGAAATTCGTCTCTGTAACGCTACCTGTTTTAACTTGAGTTTCACATCTTCAAGGCCACCAATTTGATCCCAGGCGACAGGCCTGAAGTCTGCCAGCCCAACTCCACTTCGAACAGAGGACGGCTGGATCGTTTTCAATGCTTCACGGAAGTCCGACATGTGCACTGTGTCAACTGAATCCTGAAGAAATGTATGTACAAGCAGAGGGAAAAAAAGGTTTGTTTGCTTTTAATGCCCCAAACCCTGAAGTCACTCACTCGTGAGAAGTCTTAGCAGCCCTGCCAATGAACAATCAGTCCATATATCTGGGTCCACAACTTACATTTATATACTGCTTTCTGACACGGCACCCAGAGCAGTTTACAGTGGCAAAATACTAAAGCAAATAAATGATATAAATTGTAGGTGTAAAGGTAAAGGACCCCTGAAAGGTTAAGTCCAGTCAAAGGCGATTATGGGGTTGCGGTGGTCATCTCGCTTTCAGGCCGAGGGAGCCAGTGTTTGTCTACAGACAGCTTTTCAGGTCATGTGGCCAGTAGGACTAAACCACTTCTGGCGCAACGGAACACTGTGACAGAAACCAGAGCGCACGGAAATGCCATTTGCCTTCCCACTGCAGTGGTACCTATTTATCTACTTGAACTGGCATGCTTTCGAACTGCTAGGTTGGCAGGAGCTGGGACAGAGCAACGGGAGCTCACCCCATCACGGGGATTCAAACTGCCGATCTTCTGATCGGCAAGCCCAAGAGGCTCAATGGTTTAGACCACAGCGCCACCTGTGTCCCCACCACAAATTGTACAGTTGGGCAGGGAGGGGACAGTTTGACTGGCACTGTCTCTTTGCCTGTTTGCCTCACTTTTCCCTTCTTTCCCACAGGGCAAATAGTGTCTGTTACAACATTCAAGTTGTAATGTTTTACAACACTCCAATTCTACAGAGACATGCAACTCTGCTATGATTTCCAGGAGCTTGTGATAACACAGCTACAGAGGCCTCCTAGGGGAAGCAACTGTGGCTATGTGATATTAATAATTACTAGCAACCTAGCAGTGCAAGTAGCTAAACAAATAAGTAGATAGATAAATAAATAGGTACTGCTGCGGCAGGAAGGTAAACAGCATTTCTGTGCGTTCTGGTTTCCGTCACAGTGTTCTATTGCGTCAGAAGCGGTTTAGTCATGCTGGCCACATGACCCAGAAAGCTGCCCATGGACAAAACGCCAGCTCCCTTGGCCTGAAAGCGAGATGAGCGCCACAACCCTAGTCGCCTTTGTTAGGACTTAACCGTCCAGGGGTCCTTTACTTTACGAGCAAAAATACCCATTGTTGAGTGGGGGAACTGAGAAAGGTCCTGTGAACTGTAGAATATGGGTCGTTCAGTGGGATTGGCCAGAAAGACCGCCTCTCCCCGCACCCAGCTCAAATTGTCTCTCTGACACTGTAACCCTGTGTTTATAGAGATGGCTGGAGCAAAGCAGACACCTATAACCATATACAGTGGTACCTCGGTTCTCAAACATCTCCGTTGACAGATGTTTCGGAACCCAAATACTGAAAACCTGGAAGTAAATGCTTCCTTTTTCGAATGCGCCTCGGAAGTCGAATGGCTTCCACTGCGTGTTTTTCAATTTTCTCAACTGAATTTGCAGACAGTCCTTTGTGCCTCAGTTTTCGAATGTTTTAGAACTCAAACTGTCTTCCAGAACGGATTACGTTTGATAACCGAGGTACCACTGCACTGCTAATCTCAATGTAGCAAGCATTCCTCAATCCCTGATAGCAGCTCATTTTACTTTGTGCTCTAGAATGTAATGGGGATCACTGAGAAATGAGCTTGACTGTAAATGTCTCGGCCTAGGTTGCGTTCCTTGGCCATATTACAGGGTGTGAAAGGCACAGATTCCAGAAATAGGCACATATATGATATACCACCGCACACAGAGTGGATCTGCAACAAAACATTGCAGTGAAGAGTGTTGCTTCTCATGATCCCAGTTGCTCCCTTATCTGCCACCTCAAACAGTCAGTTGGTATTCCATGGCCACTGTGCAAAGTTTGGAGAGTCCCCATCTTAGGGTTTTCCACGCCAGATATCTTGTACTTTTGCAAAGCTCAACAATTTTGGGGTCTTCCTAAAAAAACACCTCATCAACTTTCGGGGTGTGCTGGTTGTTACTTTTTGAAATATGGGAACCCCAGTTATAACCCCTTCCTGAGTTTGGGTGGTGTCAGTTAATGGTACCCACTGCCTGAACATCAGAAAAACAGGGAATGGTACTGTCAGGGGTTCAGAGAGAGAGGCACAGGGTAGGCAGGAGATGGAGAGCGAAGGGGAGGAATTCCAAGCCAGCGAGGAAGAGGACGACAATGACTCAAGGGATTCCATGAGTCTTTCCAGCGAATCAGAGGATTCCCAGAAGGGGCGCCGGTGGTCAGGGCCAGGAGCCCCAGGGGGAA